GGTCCCAAGTCAATGATGGCGACCCTGGTGGTCTGGATAAACAATAGTCCCTCCACCAAGTCTTGGCGGATCCTGCTAGTCGAAAGGTGGCGAAGTCGACCCCATTGGTCTCCACAATACCCATAGTCCGAAGAACCTCATGGCAGCTATATAAGAAATCCTGGGATCCTCTGAAGAAGAACCGCTGAATGTGATGGTGAAGAGCTTGGTGAACCTATCCAGTCTTCACAAAGCATCTGTGGACATAGCCGCCCCATCACCGGTCTGAGTCACAATACCCGGCTGAACTGCCACAGCTGGCTGAGCCACTGGAACCTGAGTCTGGGGAGCTACCTGCTCCGGAGTACGTGTAGCAGGAGTCTGAACCCCTCCTCCGGCCTGAGAAGTGGTTGGTGCTACTGGAAGCAAACCCGCTCGAGAGACGCTCTCCATAAAGCCTACCAACCTGACCAAAGCGTCCTGAAGAACTGGGGTGGCTATAAACCCCTCTGGGACCTGAGCTGGGCCCACCGGAGCTGCTGGGGCTGGAATCTCCTCATCATAATCAGCATGAGGCTCCACCTCTGGGACTGCTGCTCGGGGCTGAGCTCTGCCCCGGCCTCGGCCTCTGGCACGGCCTCGGCCTCAACCTCTGCCCCTCGTAGGAACTGCTGCTGGGGGCTCGGGCTGCTGTGCGGTAGAAGAGGAAGCACGTGTTCTCGTCATCTGCGAAAGAACAGAGTAGAAAGACAATCAGTATTTGAGAAACAGAATCGCACGACAAGAAGGAACAAAAGTGAAATTTTCCTAACTCCGTAGCCTCTGGGGGATAAATACAGACGTCTCCGTACCAATCCCTCAGACTCTACTAAGTTTGTCCGTGAGTAGTGAGACCTATGTAACCTAGTGCTCTGATACCAACTTGTCACGACCCGGATTTCCCACCCTCGGGAGTCGTGATGGCGCCTACTAGTAGGAGCTAGGCAAGCCAATTAATTTAATACCTCTCTTGACAACATCAACAATATAAAGAAAGGCGAGACAATTAATATAAAAGAGGAAGTCTCAAAACATAAATAACTGAAACCAAGTGCGGAAGCTCAAATACATCTCTACCCAGACCTGGTGTCACTAAATCACGAACTTCTACAGAATGCTAAATACAAAGTCTGAATAAAAACACAGTACTGTCTGATCCGATACAAAGGAAATCAAACGAAAAACAAGGATAAGAGAGACTCCGGGCCATGCGGACGTCAGCAAGGCTACCTCGGGAATCTCTGGACTGAAGTCAGCTCCCAATGCTCCTACTGCTGTCCAAAAGCTCCTGCTCCGGTACTGTGATCTGTGCAAAAAGATGCACAGAGTGTAGCATCAGCACAACCGACCCCATGTGCTGGTAAGTGCCTGGCCTAACCCCGGCGAAGTAGTGACGAGGCTAGACAGGACTACCAATCAACCTGTGCAGATATATATATACAAACACTACAAAAATAACAGCGGAAAGTAATAATTAAGACTGGGAGGGGAACATGCTTTTGGGGATAACAGATAAAATAGAACGGTAGGAATAAATAAGGAAAACTACAACTAATCTCTTCTAACACAGAATACGTGGTCGGCGTGCCACACGATCCCATTTCATGATATATAAGTGGTCGGCGTGCCACACGATCCCATTTCATAATATATAAGTGGTCGGCGTGCCACACGATCCCTTCTCATAATATATATATGGTTTCCCGGCAAGGGAACAAGTATCAATTCAACTATCCCGGCGAGGGAGAATACAAGTAAACAGCTAGTTCCCGGCAAGGGAGCAACGACAATAACTTACGCGTCCCGGCAAGGGAATAATTACATCTCTTTCTCTTTCGTTCATTTCTTACTTCCTAACCAGGTCATAATTCGAGCCAACGCTCCAAGGAGTTTACAAGTCATATTTCCTCTTCATACTATTCACATTATATAGCAACCATCAATTAAACAAGGAAGAGTCACTACAGAATTCCGAATAAGCACAAATAAGGACTCACGGTCATGCTAGACACCGGTGTATAGATACTCGTCACCATGCCTATACACCGTACTCCACATTTAGCAATTAGCAAATAATACTCTAATCCTATTCCCTCAAGCCAAAGTTAGATCAAACACTTACCTCAACTTCCACGGCTAAATCAATCCACAACGACCGCTTTCCCTCTCGGAAAGGAAACGTTTTCTTGCCTTTACTAATGTTTAATATTCCACATTAATCACATCTTCTTTTTAAGAAGGTGACTTTTGGATTATTTAATATAGGACATAAATCAAAAAATAGGTAAAGAAAGTGATAAAAAATAGAAAAAAGATAAATAGGCTCCTTGGCCATAGAGATGTGTCATGTCAGCATTTTTTTTTCCCTCCTTTATATATATATATATATAGATATATGGATTGTTTGTCATTCAAATATTATAAGTATACTTTTAAAGTTACTTTTTGTCATGCATTTTTACCAACAGTTACATCATGTACTTTGAAATCTTAATGAATATCATATATTTTCTTAAATGCCCACTATAGTGTCACAATTGTGAGAGATTATATATACTCGGGAGGCAAGGAAAACATTAAGACTGTCTTGACCATCTCCTCATCTTCTTCAGAGATATAATTTAGACTCATCTTGTTCAACTCTTGAGAAACTACTAAACAATACCTTATTACTAAAGCTAATAAAGCTTGTGCCTTTTGGGGGCCTCATTTTTTTTTTTTTTTAGAAATAATAGGCATATACTTATTAAAATTTAGAGTTGTTAGTACTACAAAAGTAGATTTTTTTATATAAAAGGAAAGAAATATTTTTAGATATATAAATAAAGTAACCGTTTGACTTACTTGAAATAAGAAATATTTTTAGATATGTAAGTAAAGTAACCATTTGACTTACTTGAAAATGGGTAGTATGAATATTTTTCTAACTTGTGAATTGAAATTTATTTGACAAGAAAAAATAGTACAAATAGAAGATACTATATACTCAATCAAATAAAGAGGCTTCATTCTTTTCTAAATGCTTATATTGCTTACAGAATAGTGTTATCACTTCATATAACAGTTTTCTCAGCGGAAACAAGTTTTTCAAAATTTAAATTCATAAATCGTAGCTAAGATCAACAATGTCTCAAGAAAAAATAAATGGATTGGCTATAATATCAATTGAAAAGGAATTGTTGGAAGAAATCGATTATTAAAAAAATAATATTAACAACTTTGCATCTAAAAAAAGCTAGAAGAATAAAATTCAAATAAAAATATATATTATAATCTTTAAAAAAAATTTGGGCCTCATTTTAAACTTGGCTTTAGGTCACATATGAGCTTGAGCAGCCCCTGCTTATTACTGCCTAGGGGTGTTTGGCGTGGAACGCTTGGAGTCTCGCCACCCCTAATCAGAGGTTTGGAGTTCAAGCACCGGCAATAGTGAGAACCTTTCGATAGGAAACGCCTTTTGTAGTCAGAGGCGGACTTATGATTTAAAGGTAATGGGGGCACATGAACTGTACTGCTCAACCAATGCCCCTATGGGGCTTTTAATCTTAAGAGTTCCAAGCAATATATAACCGGTTTTAATATATAGACACTTAAATATTCAGAATTTTTGCTGAAGTTAACCGAATCCAGTGACCTCTCTTCTTAAAGCATAAGTATGCCTCTGTTTGTAATGAATCTATCCGGCACGAAATTGAATGATTTCAAATAGTGGATGAGTAATAAAAAGGAACCCTGTTTGTAATTTGCACAAGTTACTCGCAGAACTTTTATCCAACTTATAGTCAAATCACCGTTGTCAACCACTGTTTACCCAAGTGGGACTGTCTCCTGGGAACATCAATTATTATATGCTGTAACATTATTGCGATTTGTAACACCTGCAACATGAAAAAAATATATAAATAAATACAATACATACAGACAAAGATATGCAGGTCTAAAGGTCTCATGGAATCTGATTAGCAGAGATCTCAACCTAATGCAACTAAAAACAAGCTACTGTATTCCATGCCTTGTTGATGTGAAAAGAATTTTCAGCTCTTTATGTAAGAAGAATCATTTCATGTTGCTGGCCTTGTCCTTATGGAGCATAATCTCGTGATATGGTCGACAATATTTCCAAATTAAGTAGAAATTATTTGTAGTTAGATCTTGATTGCTCATGGATGTAGAAATCAAAATGGATGTAGAAATCAAATCAGAGAAATACTTATTCGCCCTCGAAATTCATTCCAAACCAAGATAATTAACTGTAAAAAAGCATTAGTCACAAATTGATATTACTTGTGCCTGTATTAATTCTGCGATTCCTTTGTATGAAATTTTAACATATTGTAAGAGTTTCCGTTCTATACCAATAAGACGTAACAACAACAACAACAAACATAGTTAAAATCCGAGGCCACAAGTGGGTTTAGAGAAGATTGAGTGTACGTATACTTTACCCCTACATTTGTGAAGTTCCAGAGATTGCACTAATGATCAGGGGCGTACGTGTTACGACCCAAAATCACGTGACCGGCACCTGGCACACAACCCGGCCTGAGCAAACCAAACCATATGATGCACCCAAACCATATGCATGAAAACTGTTGAGAGATGCCAATGTAATAGTGTAGTGTAGTATTTGGATATAACACACGTGGTAGTTAGTTGTTAGCAGTTAGGTAGTTAGAGGATAATCAGTTAGTTGACAGCTGTATTTAATTGTTAGTGGTTAGCTGTAGATTAGAGAGAGTTAGTAGTTGTATAAATACATTGAAAACTAATGGAACAGTAGACGGTTTCCATTTCTCATGCTGCAATCTCATTTCTCCTCTTTCATAGAATCTTCTTGTGAGCTCCAATGGTTGATTCCGTCTCAGCTGCCATGGGCTTTTAGCATGGTATAAGAGCAACTGATTCTGGTAACTCACCTGTTCTCAGAGCTAATTATCCAAAGCACTCTGAAAATCTCAACTTCTTCAAGCTCGTTTCCAGCTATGGCGGCGGAAAAGCTCACCTACACGCATCCTCTGTTCATGAACTCGTGTAACGACCAGGTCGGTCGTTTCGAGAGTTACAACCCCATTTCCCCATTTCTACTTCTTTGTGTTCTTCAGCTATATTATGGTATGTTGGCTCAGTTGGTTCGGGTCTAGAGTGTTTTCGGAGAGGATTTGAGACACTTAGTCTCTTTTGTGAAGGCTTAATGTAACGACCCAGCCGGTCGTTTCATGAGTTACCGCACCGTTTTTCCCATTTCTGCTTCTTTATATCTTGTTCAGCTGTATTATGTGGTATCAGATTGGTTGGTTCGGGTTCGGAATGGTTTGGTAGAGTAATGAGACACTTAGTCTCTTAAATTGGCCTTTTAGTTGGAAAAGTCAACCGGAAGTTGACTTGTGAGTAAACGATCTCGAAATTTGGTTTTCATGATTCGGATAGCTTCGTGAGGTGATTTGGGACTTAGGAGCTGATCAGAGTGTGTTTTGGAGGTCCGGGGTAGATTTAGGCTTGAATTGTCGAAATTAGAATTTTGGCATTTTCCGGGTGGTAGCAGAGATTTTGATATAGGGGTCGAAATGGAATTCCGGAAAGTAGAGTAGGTCCATTGTGTCATTTTGGACGTGTGTGCAAAATTTCAAGTCATTCGGGCGAGGTTTGATAGACTTTTGATCAAAAGCGGAATGGGAAAGTTTTTGGAATCCTTAGGCTTGAATCCGAGGGTGATTTGGTGTTCCGGCGTTGTTTTGAGTGTTCCGGGGGTTGGTACAAGTTAGAATAGTGTTATGTGACTTGTTGGCGTGTTTGGTTGAGGTCCCGAGGGCCTCGGGATGGATTTGGATGGTTGACGGGGAGTTTGGATGTTTGGAGCAGCTGCAGAATTTTCTGCTTCTATTGTTTCCGCACCTGGGAATTGGGGACCGCAGGTGCGATGCCATAGATGTGTTTTAAGGGTCGCATATGCGACCAAAAAGGAAAAGGACTGGAGCCGCAGATGCGGAGCTTTGGGCGCACCTGCGATAACGCAGGTGCGTGTGTTTGAGCGCAGGTGCGAGATGGGGCGGATAAGTGATTTTCGCAGGTGCACACCTGGGACCGCAGGTGCGAGTCCGCTGATGCGAGAAATTTGACCGCAGATGCGGTATTTCTGGGGCAGAACATATAAATAATGGACTTCGCGATTTTTAGCCTTTCTTCACCATTTTTAAGACGGTTTTGGAGCTCTTTGGGAGATTTTGAAGAGGGAATTCAAGGGAACTTCGTTGAGGTAAGATTGTTGAACCTAAAACTCGTTTCTATGGTGTTATTTCTCTGATTAGGCTTGAAATTTATGGAAATTGGTGGTTAAATATTGAAGAACTAGGGCTTGAAATTGGAGACCTTTGATTAGGGATTTGAGGGGTCGTTTGTGGTCGGATTTTGATATATTTGATATGTACGAACTCGTGAGAATATAAGGATTCTATTGATGTGACTTTTAATGAATTTCGAGACGTGGACCGGGGGTCGGGTTTGGTCAATTTCGGAATTTTTGGTGTAAATTGGTTATTTTCGAGTGGTTATTGATGAGTATATTCCGGTTTTGGATAGATTTGGAGCATCCGGAGGCCGATTCGAGAGGCAAGGGCATCGCGGGCTAGAGTTTGGACCGGATTGAGGTAAGTAATGATTGTAAATGTTGTCCCGAGGGTATGAAACCCCGGATTTCACATCGTTGTGCTATTTTGAGGTGACGCACACGCTAGATGACAAGCGTGGGGTCGTGCACCGTTGGGGGTTGTGACTTGGTCCGTCCCGTACGACTGTTAAGTCGCGTATTTGATTGAACACTATTTAATATTATTGTGTTTTGAAAAAATATTACTATGTTTGGGGCTAAAGGCCGTGTTTGGGCCTTGTGCCGATTGTTTGGACCCTTAGGGGCTTTTTACTACTATTTCCTCACTATTTTGATAATATCTACACTCAGTCATGCTATGCTTTCACTGACTTCATAACTAGGGTTTTATTTACTCCTTTTGATGTTATAAATGATATTTTGAGCCGAGTACTTATTTTACTGTTTGCCCGAGGGGCTTGAGTGAGTTCTGACTGAGTGAGGCCGAGGGCTTGTATTGTGAGGATGTTATGGGATCGGGCTGTGCGCCGTAGCGTGTTACACTGATTTGTGATATATGAGAGCCGAGGGCCTGATTTGTTATGCCACGAGATGGCTTGTGATAGCGCTTGGGCTGTAGGAGCCCCTCTGGAGTCTGTACACCGCCAGTGAGCGCGGGTACCCAGTGCGTGATGTGATATTGACCGAGAGGCTGTTGTTGTTTCATGTTGTTGCCCGAGGGGCTGATACGAGTGATTGTGAGGTAGCCCGAGGGGCTGGTTCTGTTGATATTATGCCCGAGGGGCGGTTTATGGTACTTGTTTTGCCCAAGGGGCTATTTACGTTTCTATCCTTCTTCTCACTGTTTTCATCACTCGTTTGAAACTATTGAAAGATGTTTTAAAAGGTTTTCACTGAATTGAATTGTCTCTTCTACAAGTTTTATTGTTTTACTGCATTGTTCTGGACTTATACTGTTTGCTGTAGCGTTATGACGTGGTTTACGAGTTTTCTTACTGCTCAGCTGCTTTTACTTTTATTACTTATTGAGTTGGCGAACTCACATTACTCCCTGCACCTTGTGTGCAGATCCAAGAGCCTCGGGTCGCGATAGTGAGTGCTGATTTGCTTTCCAGCGGATCCTCGGAGTTGACTAGGTAGTTGCTTGGCGTTCGCAGCCTAGTGCTTCTCCTTCCTATCTTATTTATCCTTGTTCTAGAATTACTTTCAGACTATGTTGACTTTTTCTTATTCCTAGACGAGATGTAGTTTCTCATGACTGGTGACACACCGATGTCGGTTGTGTTATGTTTTCCGCATTGTCTATTTTGACTTATATTATGGGATTTTTAGCTAATTATTGACTTTAAACATCTTATATTGCATTTCTGGTTGGTTTGGGGTTTGTGTCAACTGGCCTAGTTTCACGATAGGCAACATCACGACCGGGTCCGTTTTTGGGTTGTGACACTTAAGTTGGGAAAGTTGACTGGATATTGACTTATGTATAAACGATCTTGGATTTGAATTTTGATGGTTCCGTTAGCTCCGTTAGGTGATTTTGGACTTGGGAGCGCATTCGGAATGTGATTTGGAGGCTCGTGGTAGAATTAGGCTTGAATTGGCGAAAGTTAGAATTGGCGATTTTGGTCGGCAGTGGAAATTTTGATATCGGGGTCGGAATGGATTCCAGAAGTTGGAGTAGGTTCGTGGTGTCATTTGTGACGTGTGTGCAAAATTTTGGGTCACTCGGGCGTGATTTGATGGGTTTCGGCGTCATTTGTGAAATTTGAAAGTTTAGAAGTTCTTAGGCTTGAATCCGAGGGTAATTTGGTATTTTGATGTTGTTTTGAGTGATTCGAAGGTTCGGCTAAGTTCATAGGTTGATATATGACTTATTGGTATATTTGGTTAAGGCTCCGAGGGGCTCGGGATGATTTCGGATGGCTAACGGAGAGCTTGGAATTTGGAAAATGCAGCTGAAGTTGCTGCTGCTGGTGTTTCCGCACCTGCGGAATGGGAACCGCAGGTGCAAGGTCGCAGGTGCGGTTGACTAGCCGCAGATGCGGAAATTTAAGGCCAGGGTTGGGTCCGCAGAAACGTAAGGGTGGTCGCATCTGCGAGCCCGCAGGTGCGAGACCTGGGGCGCATATGCGGAAGAAGAGAGAGTGGCCAGTTCTGCAGAAGTGGAAAGATATGCGCAGGTGCGAAACCTGGGGTGCAGGTGTGGCTTTGAGGATTTAAGTGGTTTCCACAGGTGCGAGGAAACGACCACAGGTGCGGTTCCGCAAGTGTGGAAGACCTAGGCAGAAATTATAAATAGCACACTTCGCGAATTTTGGTTCATTTCCACCATTTTCAAGTCGGTTTTTGGAGCTATGGTTTTTTCCCATTGTTTATCAATTAATTAGTGGAAATTAGGGGTGAAAATGAGGGGTTAGAGCTTGGGATTTTGGAGAGTTGATTTCAGGATTTGATGGACCAAATGGATTCAGATTTGGATAAATTTGTATGTATGGACTCGTGAGTGAATGGGCTTTCTAGTTTTGTGACTTTTGTTGGATTTCGAGACGTGGGCCCGGGGGCCGGGTTTGAGTGGATTTCGGGATTTGTGTCCAATTAAATAATTTTTCTTGTGGAATTGGTTCCTTGGCCTATATTGATTGCATTGTATTTCTTTTGGCTAGATTCGGGACGTTTGGAGGCCAGTTCGAGAGGCAAGGGCATCCCGGAATAGGATTTTGGGCTTGATTGAGGTAAGTAACACTTCCAAACTTGATTCTGAGGGTTCGAAACCCCGAACTATATCTTATGTGATTAGTATTGAGGTGACGCACATGCCAAGTGACGGGCGTGCGGGCGTGCACTGTGAGAATTGTGGCCTGGGTGGTTCCATGGCACCGTTTAGTGACTCTATCATGTTGATATCCATGTTTCCATTATGTGATAACGTATTTGAGCTGTAAATCATGCTAGATATTATGCTTAGGCTTTGTGCCGGTATTGTATAGACCCTTGGTGGTCGTTTCTTGCTGTCATCTCACTAGTTTTCGCTTAATATTCCATACTCAGTCATGATCATGCATATTTATATCATATCTCAGTCTCAGTTAATTATTGATTCAGCATATCATTATTCTGGGTTGTTTTCATGACATTGCGAGCCCGTGGTGAGACTAGAGAGGTAAATGACTGAGTGAGGCCGAGAGCCTAGTTATGAGTGACAGATATGGGATCGGGCTGCACGCCGCAGCGATTATATTGATGATTATGATAGCGTTTGGGCTGTAGGAGCCCCTCCAGAGTCTGTAACACACCCCCAATGAGCGCAATTGATATTATTGAGGGATGGATCATCCCTGGACATGGATCTTGTCCGAAACATCGATACCTAGAGATGGATCTTCTCCACAGGGCTGGGATGGCCTTCCTCGGTACTGAGTGCCTGTTGTCAGTGATGTGTATATATTTCGGGATGGATCTTCCCTGGGCCGGATGGCTATATACAATACCGAGTGGTTGAGCACTTGAGAGTGGAGGCACATAGTGCATTTTTATACATTCTGTGCATTGGCACGTAGAGATCAGCTGAGATTTATTCCTTATATTGTCCAAATCTGTATTTACTTTACTGCTTGAGCTGAATACTTGACTTGAAAGCATGCCTACTTTTCTGCACAATTTATTTCTGTTTGCATGTTGAGGTTATGTTCGTTACTACCTATCAGTCCATAGTTTGGACTTGTTACTTACTGAGTTGGTATACTCACGTTACCCCCTGCACCTTGTGTGCAGATCCAGGTATCTCTGGCCACAGTAGGGGTTATTGATTTACTCAGTAGCGGATTATTGGAGATAGCGAGGTAGCTGCCTGGCGATCTCAACCCTGCTTTTCTCCTTCTTTATCTTCCCTTTAGTGTATTTTGGTTATTCTCAGACTATGTTAGTCTTGGTATTTCCAGAAAATTATGGCTTGATGAGTAGATCGATGAGAATTGCTATCCAAGCTAAGAGGAAGCTAGGGTTCGTGCTAGGTACATGTAAGAAGGAATTGTTTGATAATGAGTTGCACGAGCAATAGGAAACATGCAATGCTATAGTCCTTTCATGGATTATCAATACAGTTTCTGAAGATCTACTCAGTGAAATTGTGTATGCCTCAGATTCCTACATCGTGTGGAAAGACCTCAAGGAACGATTTCACAAGGTCAATCGCATGAGGATTTTTCAAGTACACTGTCAAATAGCTAATCACTCACAAGGTACGAACTCTGTTTCAATATATTTCACTAAATTGAAGGACCTCTGAGCTGAATATGATGCCATGGTCCCCCCTCCTGACTGTGACTGTGCAAAGTCTAAGGAATCAGTTGAGCATTTTCATCAGCAGAGGTTATTATAGTTTCTAAGTAGATTAAATGACTCCTATGACCAAGCAAGGAGACAGATTTTATTGAAATTAACTTTTCATACAATTAATCAAGCCTATGCTCTGATAATTGAATATGAGAGTCAACACTCAGTTGGTCTAAACGCTTACTGCAAACACAGATCCCTTAGCTATGCAATTAACTCATGGACAGCCTTATAAAGGCAAGAGACTTTTTTTGCAGTGTGAATACTGCAATATGAAAGGCCATAGCAAGGAGAATTGTTACAAATTGGTTGGAAATCCCCCTGATTTTAAGTCTAAAAGGAATTCAAAGTCTAGTTTTGGAGGATCTGGAAGTCAAGTTAACTATGGTGGACAGACTGGATATGGTAAACAACCCTTCAATGCTGTCAACAATGTGACTGGGAATGTTGATATGCCACCACCAGAGATGCATTATAGAAACTCAGGGCCAACTGAAGTCAAGGCTCAGTATTTTACTGAAGAACAATATAAACAGATTCTCAATTTACTAAGCAAAGATGTTGGAGAAGATCAAAGCAATGAGGCAAACCACATCAATGTAGCAGGTAATGCAATTTGTATGATGTCTAAGGTAACAAGTGATGATGAATTGATAGTGGATTCTGGAGCTACTCATCATGTAGCTTCTAAGAAAAGTTTGATAAATAGTGATCATAGTCAACCAATATCTGGTAATAGTAAAGTACATTTACCCACAGGAGATAGGGCACATATTACTCATACTGGCTATGCATCATTGTTTTGCAACATAACTGTGAGCAATGTGTTGGTTGTCCCTGATTTCAAGTTTAACTTGTTGTCAGTGTCTAAATTGACCAAAGATTTATCACGCTCAGTCAACTTTTTCCCTGGCTTTTGTGTCTTTCAGGAGTTTTGGAGTGGCAGGGTGAAGGGGATTGGTAGGCAAAGAGGAGATTTGTGCATATATAAAGATGCAGATATTAGTAAGCAGGGCACACAACATCCAATAACAGCAACAATTCAAAGGGGGGATAGCAGCTTATGGCATAACAGACTAGGGCACCCATCTGCACAAGTAATGAAGTCTATGAAGTTGTTACATGATCATGTAAATATTTCACAATTGAATAAGTGCACAATTTGCCCTTTGGCAAAGCAAGCTAGATTGATGTTTCCCAGTAGTGATTCTAGAGCTGATGCACCATTTCACATTGTACATATGGATCTTTTGGGCCCCTATAAAACTGCTACTTTTGACAATAAGCATTATTTTTTACTGTTGTGAATGATCACAATAGGTATACATGGATCTATTTGTTGCAACTTAAGTCTGAAGCTATTGTGGCCATTAAGTCTTTTTTGTCCATGGTGCAAACATAGTTTGGTGTCATGGTTAAGGTTCCTAGGACAGACAATGTCACTGAGTTTTTTAACTCACAGTGCAGTACTTTATTTCAAGATTTAGGCATACTTCATCAGAACAGTTGTGTTCACACCCCTCAACAGAATGGGTTGGTTGAAAGAAAACATAGGCATATCTTGAATATAGCTAGGGCACTCAAGTTTCAATCCAAAGTGCCTATTAGATACTGGAGTATGTGTATCAAGACTGCAGTTTACCTTATGAACTGACTTCATTCTGTTGTAACTGGTAACAAAAGTCCTTATGAGTTATTGTTCAGGAAGTAGGCAACATTGCATCACTTAAGGGTGTTTGGATGTCTGTGTTTAGCAACTACAATTCCTATAGGAGACAAGTTTGCAGAAAGAGCAAAGCCAGCTGCTCTTATGGGGTACTTAGAGTTGCAAAAAGGCTATATCCTCCTAGATCTTAAAACAAACCAGTTGTTTGTCAGCAGAGATGTCATTTTCAGAGAAAATGAATTTCCCTTTGCCATTGCATACTCAAAGAAACAGTCTACACCTGGAACTACCAACATAGACCAATCCTCACCTCATGATATATCACAATTCCTACCAAATACAACCCATGATGCACCACCAAATTCACCAGATATACCTCATGACATGCCACAACATTCACCTGATATCTCCAACATCAATGACATTTCAGCACCTTCTACTTAGCCTGATGATAATTCTGCCAGCTCCCTTGAACCTAATGCCCTTGATTCTGATTCATTTGACCTGGAATTAAGTCCTTCTCTTGCTCTGGAGAATGAAGGGGGAGATGACATCAATGAGGAATCAACATCCTTTGATACTGGTCACATTCCATCAGATGGAGTTCATGCTCCAGTCACGAGGAAGTCTTCAAGAGATTCCAAGCAGCCTGTTTGGATGAAGGATTACATAACCACCAAACAAAGCACCAGTAAACACCCTATTTCTAATCACTTATCCTATGATAACATCAAGCCGACATATCAAGCCTATCTTCCAAAATTTTCTACATTGGTGGAGCCTAAGTGTTACATAGATGTAGCAAAAGATACCAGATGGATAGAGGCAATGAATTAGGAGATCAAGGCACTAGAGGAGAATATTACATAGGAAGTGGTAGACCTTCCAGAAGGAAAAAATGCAATAGGCTCAAAATGGGTGTACGAGATCAAATACCAAGCCAATGGAGAGGTTGAGAGGTTCAAGGCCAGCTTGTAGCAAAAGGCTACAGTCAAAAGGAAGGCCTTGATTATCATGATACCTTCTCACCTGTTGTTAAAATGGTGACTGTAAGATCAGTCATAACACTTGTTCTATCTAAAGGCTGGACTTTATGGCAAATGGATGTATACAATGCATTCTTACAAGGAACCCTATGTGAGCAAGCCTATATGGACATGCTTGAGGGGTTCAGAAGACAGGGGGAGTCAAGGGTGTGCAGGTTGCTCAAGTCCCTATATGGACTAAAGCAAGCATCTAGGCAGTGGAACATAAAGTTGACAGATGCATTGGTGGATGCAGAATTTGTCCAAAGCAGCCATGACTATCCATTGTTCATATTAAACAACTCTGATGACATAGTGATTGTCCTAGTATATGTTAATGATCTACTCATCACAGGGAGTAGCATTGAACTGATTAATAAAGCAAAGAGAGTGTTGAATCACAAGTTCAAAATGAAGACATTGGTGAATTGAGGTACTTCCTTAGCATAGAAGTGTTAAGGTCAAGTTCAGGAGTGATTCTCAATCAAAGGAAGTATGTGTTAGAGTTGATCTCTGATATGGGATTATCTGTAGCAAGACCAGCCAAGACACCTTTAGAGTCCAATTTGAAGCTAACAGTTGTGGAGTATGACAAAATGGCTGGAGTTACAGGAGATGAAACCTTGCATGACATCAGTTCATATCAGAGGCTGATGTATGTAACTGTCACAAGGTCTGATATCAACTATGCAGTTCAGACCTTGAGTCAATTCTTGCAAATGCCCAAGAAATCTCACTGGGAAGCTGCAACAAGGTTAGTAAGGTACTTGAAGAGTTCACCAAGACAAGGCATTTGGTTGAGGGCAGGAATCACACAAGAATTGACATGTTGGTGTGATTCTGACTGGGTAGCATGTCCAAATACAAGAAGGCCAGTGACGGGATACATAGTCAAGTTTGGGGAGTCCTTGATCACATGGAAATCAAAGGAAAAAGCAAACAGTCGCTAGAAGTTCAGCTGAGGCAGAGTATAGGAGCATGGCTTTAGTTGTGGCAGAGCTAACTTGGTTGCATTGACTGTTTAAAGAGCTGGGAGCTAGCATACATAGTCCAATGACTGTGTTTAGTGATAGTAAGGCTGCTATGCAAATTGCAGCTAACCCCATCTTCCACGAGAGAACGAAACATATAGAGATAGACTGTCACTTCATTGGAAACAAAATCAAGGCAGGAGTAGTGAAGATTTCATATGTATATACTAAGGAATAGCTTGCAGATCTTCTGACCAAGGGCCTAGGGCAGGTTCAGCATGTTCACTTACCTAGCAAGCAGGGGGTTCTTAACATTTTAAACTCTCCAGCTTGAGGGGGAGTGTTTAGAGATGCCAATGCAACAGTGTAGTGTAGCAGTGTATTTGGATATAACACACGTGGTAGTTAGTGGTTACCAGTTAGGTAGTTAGAGGATAATCAGTTAGTTGACAACTATATTTAATTGTTAGTGGTTAGCTGTAGATTAGAGACAGTTAGTAGTTGCATAAATACATTTTAAACTAATAGAAAAGTAGACAGTTTTCATTTCTCATACTACAATCCCATTTCTCCTCTTTCATAAAAGCTTTTGGTAAGCTCCAATGGCTGATTCCGTCTCAGCTCCCATGGGCTTTTAGCAAAAACCAATTTAACCGCGGAAGCTCTTTGAAAATCATATACATTTTCTTGAAAATGATAAAATAATTTTTTCCAATTTAAAATCACACATGACGCCTTTCATGATAATAATGAGATCAAATGCAACAAATATCTTTTTACATATGTTATGTACCATCCGTTATTACAACTCATCACAACTATCTATGGAGCCTCTGTACCGAGAATAGAACTCAATATTTGGGCCAATGCCCTACTAACATATAAAAATACAATATGATAGCTACCACAAAATAGGAGTGGTGCCTCACCATATACCTTGGGAAGAGTCTCATCCTAGCCATGTCGGCATGCCATGTATCATACCCCTTATCCTGAAACATGTAAAGTAAGCTGAGCCCTAAAGAGGGGATCCTGAGGGCTGAGTACACCACCACAATACTCAATAAGTGTCATAGACTCTCTCTAACACAAGTTCGTGGAATAATATTTTACAAAAACTATGCAACCAATATTTGATATAAAGTGATAAACAATTATATAAATCATGCTCTTTATTATTTCAAATGAAAAGACAAGTGAAGTATAACTCATGATATAAATTCTTAGAACATTTATATCAATCAAAGATTTTTAATAAAAAACATACAAAACTATTCCAATTTCATTAAGTCATTGAAATCACTTTCAACTCCTTAGGCCTAAACATAAGAAGTCTTGTTTATCCTTCATCAGGAGTATTATACCGACACCAACATAATAATCAACCACTAGGTGATCATCCTCGCAACAAGTATTTGACCCTCCTTTTCTCGGTGGCTTCTCGTAGTGCCGTACGAGTCGACTTAACCTCATTACTTTAAATAATGATCATTTTCCCTCTCAATGGGGGACTTTATCCCACAAACCTCAGCCTTGGAATGTGTCCCTACACCGGCACGTGTAGTTTCATGATAACGAACTTAATATTCGATCCAATCTCGGTCGTCTCCACTAGTAACTCCCCAAATATTTGAATATCGAAAATAGATTCATAGCATGATTTCCTTAAATGATCTATTTATATCAAATCATGATTGTCATAGCCAATTCAAACCATTTGAACAAAATCAAATGAATAACTCTTTTCATGTTAAAGCCTTTAGCAATTAACATCAATCTAAAGATACAACAAGTGCTTCCTTTGTTGAAATTTCAAAAGACAAACTTTCTCATGAAAAACATATCTTTAGCACTTAAGTATTTTATACTCTTACCAAAAAATAAGTTTTAATAAAACTTATAAGAATTTCTTTAAGTGTCATTTTGTCAACAAGTTTTGAAAATAAGATTTTTATAATATTACATGGCTCTTCATAAGCAACAATTTAGAAACACATGGTAACATATTTTCCGCTTGTCCCCACAAGTACGGATGTACATTTACAAATAACATGTATCGACTTAAGACATGCTTTTAAAGAAAATCCCTCAAGAAGAGTAAGTCTTAATCAACTTACCTCAAACTTCAAGCTCCAAAAATACTACAATGCTCGAATACATTAAAATGCTCAAATATCGCCCACATTTTAATATCTACCATTAGATATCCCAACTACATCAAAACAAATACGAAAAGATTCATATATATCCATTTAGGCTTCACAATTCGGCAACAGGCCTTCAACCATCCCAAATTATCCAATAGGTTCACCCATTAGCCTATTTATTTTCATTCTTATCATTTAATATTCATTTGGAGCCATTAATGATACTATATTAATTACTCAACATCATCAAGTCACTATTCATTGCCTTCTTCAACAAAATCCTAGGTTCAAGAACACCAATTTCAAGAACTAGTTTTGTATCTTATCCAAATGGTTATTCCCAATTCAATTCATTCATCAATTAAGTTTTCAAGTCTATCAAAATTCATTAGAAACTCAAAACAATTCCATTTATATCAATTCATCACTATATATCTTCTTTTTTACCCAAAACGGCATTCTCAAGACCCACCCTTACGGTTCATACAATATCCCATTACAACTTCAAATAAAACTCATAAACATGCCACCCATAATCCAGTATATCATATATATGAAGCTCAAGTGAAGGGATTACCTCTTGGTGGAAGAATCTCACATTTCCTCTTTTTGGTGTTTTTTGAAGATTCAATACATTTCTTATGAATTTTGATCCACGAATGATGTTAGAACTGACATAAAATGGTGTTATGTAGCCACAAATACATCGTATACACTTACCTTGAAGTGTGTTGATGAGGGATGTGCTCCTCCTTCTCTCTAGATTCAAGACCTAACTCCAAAATTTCATCTCTTTCTCTCTCCCCGAAATAGCCATTTTTATAATTTTTATGACATGCATAGCTACGCACACCTCCGGCGTAGCTACGCTCACTTCCTCTTCAGCTCCCCTTCCTTTGACAAGCTTGCTGGAATCAGCTACGCACAAGGCAGTGTAGCTACTCACAGCTCGCACAGCTACATGGCTGTTGTGCTATCCTTTAGTAAAAAGATCCTAACTTCTTGTAGGAATATCCAAATGACAAACTGTTTACAGCATTGAAAACTAGACTCATAGATCTTTAATTTGACCGGTCGTACGCCACATAAATCATCATATATTGGGAGTTATGCTCGTTTAAAGTGAGGTCTTATGCAAACTCATATAGTTTCTAACTTGACTTAGCCTTAGGAATTTTTCTTAGACCATAAACCATTATTAATATACCTTGTAAACATATTACCATGATAAATTGATATCCTTCATATCGTTAGTCCTTGTTCACATCCGGATTAATATAATTAGCACTAACATCTTCTAAGTAGCTTTAAAACACTTCGAAATTTTCAGTGTGCTACAGTATGTAGCCTTTCCGCTACAGGTTCCACTGAACCCATAACTTTCGATACGGAGTATGAATTTATATATAAACACCTACTAAAATTTCAGCAAAAATTATATTTGAACCCATAATTTTAACAGTAAAATAAGTGCAACGCTAAAAATCTTAAAGATTAAACCTATTAAATTTAAATTTTGAATCCGTCTCTGTTAATGATACGTGACGCACCAAATTTTTTACATAAATGAACAGATATTGAATGATCGTTTTCTCAAGTTTTTATATAACATCATGTGGAAACATATGAATAAATATTTGAATCAAATGGACAAAACAAAAATGGTGCTGACCATGCTGCACATGTATCACAAAAACCAAAAACAAAAAGAAACCTATAATGAAATACATAAAATAATGACACAACCCATAAAATGTTGGAATTAATTCATCTGAGTGTCACTATCAAAATCATCTTGCCGTGAAGTCTCTCTCACCCTTTGTCTCTTTCAAAATAGTTCTTTTTTCCTCTGTGCCCCCCAAATCGCCTCAACATTTGACCCCTCATCTCCCCAACGCCCACAAATCTCGTCCCCTCGCATTCCCAGCCCCCTACCTGAAGCATGAGAGGGGCCTTGTTTGTCTTTACTTTTTTTTCTGTTGGCACTCTATTGTCTGTAGAGATAGACAATAACAACAACGACCCAACGACCCAGTAAAATTCTACAAGTGGGATCTGGAGAGGATAGAATATACGCAGACGTTACCCCTACCCTTGAGGAGTAGAGAGGTTGTGTCCGAGAGACTCTCAGCTCAAGAAATTTGAAACTTATCGGTTCTACAGCGATATCAAGTTAATATACAATAATAACCTAACAATTGGATTCACAATCAAATATTTATCGTAGATATTTAATGAATTTCTTAATACATATATAGGATTTGGGAAAGAACTAATGACTGCACGAAAAATCACGTTACATTACAGATCCGCC